GGAGGCGCTGTCAAGCATCTCAAAAGATGAATTTAGACAATGTTTTGAAAAATGGAATAAAAGACTAGACAAGTGTATTAGTGTAAGTGGAGAGTACTTTGAAGGGGATTGAAGGTTTGTGCTTAAAATTTGAATAAATAAGTTTAAAAAAAATAAGTTCGGTTTCTTTTGGGTACCCCCTCGTATATATTAAAGAAAAATAATGACCAATAAAGCAATGAAGTTAATTAAAAAATACAAGATCTACTGAGGTTATGGATGTGGCACTTTTAACATACACAGCAATAATTCACCAAATACAGACAAGCTATTATAAAACGTGTTCATGTGTTACCATAAACAAATAATTTTAATTTAGAAGGACCTCAGATGGTGAAATATAGGAAACATTATTTGTTTGCCTGTGTTACATGGGAGCACAAAGATGTTATAACTACAGAAATGTATCTATCACCAGGACCAATAACTTTTATGTGGAGATTTATGACATAGGGTGATCCAAAATTTAGAGCTTTTGCTATATATAACAACATACAATGTTATTGAAAAATGGAACACAATTTTTTACTCTTCCTAGCGGATTGTATCATCAAAAAAGCCTGTCATCCAACCTTAAACTCTGCAGTGTATATAAGAAACAATACAGGCTGCAACTTCATCTTTAGTATACTTCACCCTACCACATACCTTACGATTAAAAAAAAAACACACACACACACACACACACACACTATATACTTACAAAGAAAATATACACTACTGTTCTAGCACAGCCACTGTCATGCACTGATACAGAGATTCAGAATTTCTACCTTCAGAAACATGTCTGCAATAAAATTTCCTTATCTTTCACACACAAAGTAATTACTTCTTAGCGTGATTGTAGTTTCTTCTCTAATTACATTCTGCAGTCCAAATAACAGTAGAAAGGGACATCACTGAATTTAAAATGTTAAAACTATAACTACATAACAGATAAGAAATGATACAAAGGCAAGTTATCAGTGTACCAGGAACACAATAGGGATGCTACAGATTAGGAAAAAAAACAATTGTTATACATCTTTGATTATTAATGCTAGATATATATGGCAGTGTTACCACTTAAATATCTGTGACAGCTCTCAGAACTGTCAGAATATATATTTTTCATTAACTGAGCATTATATCATTTGAAGATCAGGACACGCCATCACAGACATCAATATTTATATTAGCACTTGGAGCAATACATCAGGTATTCAAACTTTAGTTAATGAAAGAGCATACTAGAATTAACATTTATGAAACTTTGGCAGGAAACATGTTGGCATATGGAAGATGGCCTTGAAGATTAGTAAAGCAAGTGAAAAAAGATTATTGGCTTGTAAACAAAACTTATGAGAACTGTAGCGTACACAATACTGGGTCCTTAACACAGTGACATTGTAGAAGAATTATGAATTCAATTAATCATAAAATTAAAACAAAAATTGTCAAAACTAATTGCCAGCAACATGTAAGAGGAATGGAAAACAACAGAATACCAAAACAGATTGTAGCCTAGAGAGAGGGGAAGTTTAGGATGACTTAATGGTGAGATAGCAAGAAACCATAACAGGCTGCATGGCCTAATGTCTGACAGGCTGATTTTGGAGGTGCTTGGTTGCAATTTTGGCTGAGTTGCCAACTATCTTGTTCTCATGTTTTGTTTTGTTTTTCTTTCACTCCCTTCAATTTAATTTCCAGGATAGCACCTTATATGGCCACAACTGCTACCTCCCAAATCCAATCCAATACCATCACATATCACTCTACCATCCAATGTCACATACTCCACACAGTGAATGCAGTGTCAAATGATCTCTGAGAAAAATGACGATGATTATGATGAATGAAGATTGTGCCTGGGTTAGGGGACCTCTACAGTTTGCAGTAGGCTCAGTACCATGATGGGAGGGCCCAGTGTGCTCCACATTCACAGAGTTCTGATTTGTTACAGGTAACATGGAAACAGCATACAAAAAAGCTGCATGGATTCAAGACTTTGGTATGGGACAGCATCATACTCCATCATCACAAGATTCCACATTTTCTGATGAATCATCTTCAACATGGAGATAACCCCTTACATTTAGGATCTATCCCACAATCTGTCTTGCAGGACAGATGGCAGTCACAAAAAACTGAGTCACGCTAACTAGCTCTGGGCTGAAAACCCAGTATCTCTCACATACAACAGGAGCACCAACCATAATACAAGAACATTCAATAAACAGGTCTAAGGCATGAACTGCCTTGCCTGCTCAAACACTGGAGTTGTGGGTTTTAATCCCACTTCAGGCAAGGATGTTTGCATTTATTCTGTTTGTGTTGTCCTGTGTAGGTAGCGATCGTTCAGTGGGCTGATTGCCCGCATAAAGAGTCCTACCAACTATATATGATTAAGAAACTGTAAAACATAGGCCAAGTTTCATCATGGACTGTACTGCCCATACAGTGTTGGTGTGATTTATGGCATGGCACAAATGTTACTCCAAGTGAGTTCATGCCTAAAATATTACTGAGATAATGGTCAAGTTGCTGAAAGCATAACAGTACTCTCTCCTGTTAAAAAGCAGGCTGTGAACTTATTTAATGGAACCTAGAATTAGTTATAAGACATACTTGTATGTTACATTTTCAGTCCAATGCAGTACTAACAGTCTTTATTTCACCTTCCACAGTCATCATTTCAAACAAACAGAATTTATTACAGCTGCAAAAAGGACAAAAATACAGATCCCTCTTTCAAGAATTAAGAAAAGCTTTATTATGAAGTTTGGGTTGATTACTGACCTTCAAATCCCTGATTGTCATGTATTTCTCGAGGTGGCCCCTGGTTTTCATTTCCCTCCAGCACTGCTAAAAGACATTGATGGATACAGATATATTGCTGTTCTGTTTGTACCATCCAGACACGCTCCTTACGCATTGCCCATACGATACCAAAAATATCTACATGATCCGTTACTTGAATCTGCTGGAGGATTCGGTCCAGGGCAATGAATGTACCAGAGCGGCCGACACCAGCACTGTTAACATAACAAACTGAAATTCAGCAAGGCATTACCTTCATTCAAGTAGTCATGTTTCATTATGTCCTAAGTTTCAACTAAAAGTGCATTTGGCTTCCTGGACAGCTCAATTATTTTCTACAAATATGCAAACACAGTTTCTGTTTTATTCTCTACAGCCAGAGAGGGTATAAAAAATTATCAATACATAATTCATCATACAATGGAATCCCCATTTCGGGCTTCTTGGGGGACCACAGGGTTCAAGCACAAAACTGAGGAAAATTTTCAATGGAGGAAATTTAACATGCTATGTTTACTGACTTGGGACCGTTGTAACCAGTCATTACTTACCTGCATCATTCTTAAATGTTACCAACTATAATATAAATTTTAAGTTTATTAATACTTAGGACTTAATACCATTTGCGGGCTAAATGTGACTTATACTCAGTTTTGCATTAACTATTCTAAGAATTAGTAGCAAGGAATGTTTAGATAAAGACCACTGCAACTGAAGACGCTACTATGATAGCTGGTGTGGTATGTGTTTCAGTTACTCCTCCCACCAGCCCAGTTAAAGAAACTTACAGAATATTCACAATCTGTAGAACAGTGTGGAAGCTTCAAGAAAAATCTTATGAAGAAGTTTCTGGAAGAATTATGTCATTCGAGAGTATTTAAAGGCTGATTTCGGATGGTGCAGATCAGAGTGTGTAGAGTGTGTGTACTCATAGTATTCAGTGTATTAATTGTAATTATTGGTTTGCATCACTAGGTGTTGCATACAGTTGTGTTCCAGGGTAGTTGTATCAGCCTAAATGGACTTATTTGTGTAATATTGTGTAGTGCTGTCAAAAATAAATTAAGTTCATTGTTACACTAGTAGAGTGTGGTCCAGTGACTTCTTCAAGAAAACCTCTCTTGTCGGAGCAAGGCCAGTTAAGCCCCGAGTGGAATAAACATGCTTGCACCCTAAACATCATTCCTGTTTCCATCCATACGTCACTCCCAATATTTTGACGTGGTTATAAGATCACATGGCACCCCACTGTAGACAAGGAGTGAGTGGGAGGGAAAAGAGAAAAAGGGAGGTTAAACAATGGAAATTGAAAATTAAAAGAAAGAAAATCTTATGTTGAGAAAAATTAAATGGTGGATCCACTGTATTGTACACAGATGGCAGAAACAACTTTTTTTTAACAATCACATACTATTGCTACATATGTCTTCAGTCACTTGCTTAAGGGTTGATACATTTCATGATTTGAGAATGCAGCAGTAGACTGGAAAGTAATGCAGGATAGGCTGGTTTATGACCATGGCTCAATTCTTTGATTTTTCCATTACTTCATTTAAGGTCACCTGGAGTTTCACTCTATTTACATACCTGCAGTGGACAACAACTGGCCTTTGTTCAGGTCCGACTCGCTCTCTGAATGCCCGCACAAATCGCACAAGGGTCTGTGGAGGACTAGGAACTCCAAAGTCTGGCCATGTTGTGAAGTGGAAGTGACGCATAACTCTTGAAGTATCGCCCTGAGTGTACACAACACATTGTATTGCTGCACACTATTTAACATACTAAAGGTAAAAATTTCTGTAAATAAGTACAAAAGACAAAAGGTATACCTATTTCAATATCATATCAAGTGTTACATAACATGTTCTGCAGAAAAGTTCCCTGCTACTTTACATACCCCTCTGGCTATGATTTGAAAATAAAAATCTGTTAACTTCAAACTAATCGCACTACAGCTACCGCACTGCACCTGGCCTGAAGCTGTTCTCCTTATAAGTTATTATACTCCCACAGTCAATAAGTTCGTGGAATGGCTGAAATTTACTGCCAGTATGTTTCAGCAATGTTTTCGACAGCTGTATCAACGTTGGCAGACTTCCATAGTGGCTAACGGCAACTATTTTGCGGGCTGATGTGGATCTGCGTAAGTGTATGTTAATACCTTGTAATATGATGCAATAAAACCACATTCCACGAACTTAATGACTCTACCACGTATACAGGGTGTCCCAGGAGGAATGGACCAAACTTCGGGAGGGTGTTCCTTATGTTAAAGTATGCCGATATAACCCAAAACACCTATGTCCAAAGTTGAATGGTTACGGAGATAATGGCCCGAGAAAAGTGTGGTCTTCTTGCAGGTCCACGCACTGTGGACAGTCAGCTGTGACTGTTATCTGTTTGTACTTGAGTGTGGTGATGTCACACTAGCCGTGATCTCATGCGCAACCTACCAGAGCCTACA